AAGGGTGGTTCAACATTGGCAAATCAATCAATGTGATAGAACACATTAATAAGAGGAGGGAGAAGAACTATATGGTCCTCTCAATTGATGCAGAAAAAGCATTTGACAAAATACAGCATCCTTTCCTGATTAAAACTCTTCAGAGTATAGGGATAGAGGGAATATTCCTCAAGGTCATAAAATCCATCTATGAAAAACCCACAGCAAATATCATCCTCAATGGGGAAAAGCTGAGAGCCTTTCCCTTAAGATCAGGAACACGTCAAGGATGCCCACTCTCACCACTGTTGTTCAACATAGTACTAGAAGTCCTAGCAACAGCAATCAAACAACAGAAAGAAAGAAAAGTATTCAAATTGGCAAAGAAGAAGTCAAACTCTCTCTTTTCGCAGATGACATAATACTTTATGTGGAAAACCCAAAAGACTCCACCCCTAAATTACTAGAACTCATACAGCAATTCAGTAATGTGGCAGGATACAAAATCAATGCACAGATATATCAGTTGCTTTCTTATACACTAACAACGCAACTGTAGAAAGAGAAATTAGAGAAACTATTCCATTTACAATAGCACCAAAAACCATAAGATACCTCGGAATAAACCTAACCAAAGAGGTAAAGGATCTATACTCTAGGAACTACAGAACACTCATGAAAGAAATTGAAGAAGACACAAAAAATGGAAAAACATTCCATGCTCATGGATCGGAAGAATAAACATTGTTAAAATGTCTATGCTACCCAGAGCAATCTATATCTTCAATGCCATCCCGATCAAAATTCCAATGACATTTTTCAAAGTGCTGGAACAAACAATCCTAAAATGTGTATGGAATCAGAAAAGACCCCGAATCGCCAAGGAAATGTTGAAAAAGAAAAACAAAGCTGGGGGCATCACGTTGCCCGATTTCAAGCTATATTACAAAGCTGTGATCACCAAGACAGCATGGTACTGGCACAAAAACAGACATCTAGACCAATGGAACAGAATAGAGAGCCCAGATATGGACCCTCAACTCTATGGTCAAATAATCTTCGACAAAGCAGGAACAAATACACAATGGAAAAAAGACAGTCTCTTCAATAAATGGTGCTGGGAAAATTGGACAGCCACATGCAGAAGAATGAAACTCGACCATTCTCTAACACCATTCACAAAGATAAACTCAAAGTGGATGAAAGACCTCAATGTGAGACAGGAATCCATCCAAATCCTAGAACAGAACATAGGCAGTAACCTCTTTGACATTGGCCACAGCAACTTCTTTCAAGATACATCTCCAAAAGCTAGTGAAACAAAAGCAAAAATGAACTTTCGGGACTTCATCAAGATAAAAAGCTTCTGCACAGCAAAGGAAACAGTCAACAAAACAAAGAGGCAACCCACAGAATGGGAGAAGATATTTGTAAATGACACTACATATAAAGGGCTGATATCCAAAATCTATAAAGAACTTCTCAAACTCAACATCCAAAAAACAACTAATCAAGTCAAAAAGTGGGCAGAAGACATGAAAAACACTTCTCTGAAGAAGACATACAAATGGCTAACAGACACATGTACAATGTTCTAATAAATTATTTTATATTAGTCTTTAATTCTTGTTCATATACTGTTTCTTGAGGTTATAATTAATCTTTCTTCTACAGTCTCCAATGCCTAAGACAGTTTTAAATCACATAAAAGATAAATAATTGTTGATTGATTGACACATTGAGTCCACAATTCAAATAAACTGACTAAAGTAAATATATTTTTCACCTATTTTTCCAAAAATCATTCACTTAATTACAATGAGTTTTGATTCACAGAGCTAAGAAATGTGTAATCCAAATTAGATAGCAAAGATCCCTGATATTTCTTTTACATGTAAAACTTTTTTATAGCCAATTCCTAATTGCAGTGATTTAAGAAGCCAGACTCCAAAGTTGGATTTCTTTGGTCATAAACATGAGTTATAGTGCTGATACTAAACTAAGTTCCCCATGTTCTTTAGTCAGTAGATGAGGGAACAAAAGATCAGAATTATATTTTGGAAACATGATAAGCAATGACTTCACATGGACCTATAGAAAAATCCTTGTCCTGCAACTTTACAGACTTAACAGACTTATAAGTGGTTACTTTACAGCAGAGTCAGTTTTGGAGAGGTTTAAATGAAACTATGACAAGGTCTAGAGTGGAACGTTTCATTCTCTCTCTGAGAGAGTATTTCGTATTTCATACTCAGAGAAAATAATCAATTTAAACTGTACTTGGTTATATGCCCAACCTTTTCAATAACAGAATTTTGTTAGCTACTTCTATGTATCCGTATTCATTTAAGGTCATGGAACTCAAATGATACTCCAAACTTCAGGAAGCCTATTATAAGTAGATTTTAGGAACTATTACCTTATTACTATAGTGAATCTAGTCTTTGTTTTATATATTAAAATATCATGCTTGCAAAAATAAACTAATGGACCTGTGCCAAAATAAAAAGATTTTTCACAGCAAAGGAAACCATCAACAAATCAAAAGGCAACCTACTGAATGGAAGAAGATATTTGCAAATGATATATCCAATAAGGAATTAGTATCTAAAATATATAAAGAACTTATATAACTCAATACAAAAAATAATAATAATCCAATTTAAAAATGGGCAGAGGGATGCCTGGGTGGCTCAGTCATTGAGCGTCTGCCTTCGGCTCAGGTCATGATCCCGGAGTCCTGGGATCAAGCCCCACATTGGGCTCCCTGCTCCGTAGGAAGCCTGCTTCTCCCTCTACCAGTCCCCCTGTTTGTGTTCCCTCTCTCGCTATGTCTCTCTCTGTCAAATAAAATCTTAAAAAATAAATAAATAAATAAATAAAAATTAAAAATGGGCAGAGGACATGAATAGTTTTTTTTCCAAAGCAGACACACAGATGGCCAGCAGACACATGGAAAGATGCTCAACATCACTAATCATCAGGGAAATGCAAATTAAAACCACAATGAGATATCACCTCATACTGTCAGAATGGCTAGAATCAAAAAGAGAAGAAATAACAAGTGTTGGTGAGGATGTGGAGAGAAAGGAACCCTAGTGCACTGTTAGTGGGAATATAAACTGGTGCAGCCACTGTGGAAAACAGTATGGATGTTCCTCAAAAAGTTAAAATAGAAACACCATGATCCAGTAATTCTACTACTAAGTATTTACCCCAAAAAAACCCCCAAAACACTCATGCAAAAAGATATATGCACTTCTATGTTTCTTGCATTCCTTGCAATAAAAAGAAGATTTGGAACAGTACATCAAAAACTAATGATGTAATGTATGGTGATTAACATAATACAAAAATAAATTTAAAAAAAAGATTTGGTACACACACACACACACACACACACACACACACCTACTCAGCCATAAAAAAGAACGAGAGCTTCCAATTTGTAACAACATGGATAGACCTAGAGGATATCATGCTAAGTGAAATAAATCAGACAGGGAAAGAAATATACCATATGATTTCACTTATATGTGGAATCTAAAAAAACCAAAACAAATGAATAAACAAACAAACAAAAAGCAAAAGCAGACCCATAAGGAGAGATGCTGGGGGTGGGGGATGGGCAAAATGGGTGAAAGAGAGTGGGAAATACAGACTTCCACTTACGGAATGAATAAATCATGGGAATGAAAGGTAGAGCTTAGGCAATAAAGTCAAAGATACTGTCATAGCGCTGTAGGGTAGCAGATGGTAGCTACACTTGTGGTGAACACAGCGTAACAACATACAGCCTTGTGGAACTGCTGTGTTGTACACCTGAAACTGATGCAACACTGTTGCCAACTATACTCCAATTGCCATGCTCATTTGGAAGCAGCTACAATAGCTCTGTACAGTTTCTCACACTGTGATTCTTGTTTCCATGTTATGCAAACATAACACATAATTTTGTGCCTGTGACACATAGTAGATAACCAAAAAATATCATCTTTTGTTTTTCCCACATTCGATGTCATGCCAGAATTAAAGGATACGCAGAAGGTACCAAAGACATGATATAATGTATATTGAAGAAAAAAAATACAGAAACTATAGTTCATCATGTGGGATATTACTATGTGGGTCATGAATTAAAGAATTAGTTGCAACCTCCTAGACCCCAAAGAGGGCAAAACCACTATAATGGCCAACAGCTGGGTCCATTTGACTGTCTCCCCTTCAAAGTATATTAGGAATCGAACTACGACATAACAAAGAGATTGTTAGTTTCCATTCCTTTCAGTGGGCATAATTTAATGCAGCAATTCAGAAGTGAAAAAATGACCATAGTCTTTAGCATCTGGACCAAAAGAGATATTAGAAGAGATATTGCACATGTGGATCTTGAACCATCACATGCAAATTTTGTAAAAAAATTAGATATATTGTGAAACTAGCAAACTCACTGGTGACAAGGTTTTAAGAAAGTTCTGGCTTTCCATAGATGCTGTTTTACAACGTAATCCTATCACACAGAGAGCTACTGCTCAAGTACTTATAGATCATGGGAACTCAGTCATTATATCAGCAAAGAGAAAAAAAAGAAAATTAAGACGATCCATTTTGAAGACAATCAAACTAACATACTTTCATGAAAACATGAGGAAAACAAAGGAGTGGTTTTGAGGGAACTTGTTACGTTCTCTCACTGAGCAGCCCCAGATAGGACTAGAGGAGATTTTTAGGATCAGAGTTGGGTTGAAGTTAAATGGATTCTGTGATCATTTTCTCTCCTCTCTTGAGATGTCTTGAGTGCACAGTTCCCCTGAATTAATTGCATTACATTTTAGAAGGAAAGAAAAGAGAGAAAGAAATTCCTGCTAGCGTACAGGAGCTACAGACAGTCCAGGCCAAAACCTCCCGAGAACCAATTACTGGTTTTGAGACTAACATTTTGTGGGAAACATTTTCATCAAAGAATATAAATGTTCAAGTTGAAGGTGACCATTTCTTTCATTACTGTTCAAATTCAGTACCTTGCCTGACCCAGTCTCCATGATGAAGATTATGCTCTAATGTGTAGCAACATTTGTGATATCCAGAGAGCAGTTCTGCCCAGCTGATGGTCACTGTGGCTTCTCCATCTTCATGTGCATTAGCAGGACACTCAAACAGGGAAATCAAGGCCACCGTGAAAGCAATTGCTTGAACCTTAACAGGGATGTTGAAAGGAAAACAAACATGGACAGTGTCATTGTTGCAAAACATTCGATGTTCCCTAAGACTAATAAGGAACAGATACTGAATTAATGGGAATTTCCTCAATATTATTTAAAGGATGCAGGCAGTTACAGTAAAAGACAGAACAACGACCATGTTGGTAAAGCAATTACCAAGGGCAGTTCATTATTTGCCTTTATGATACACTTGTTATTAAACACACAAAGAATGCAAAGCTTTCACAATTAGGAAAGGAAATTGTCCAAATTAGACTACTTCAGAGCTCAAGGGCATATTCTCGTGTCATTCAGCAAGTAATAATCTTGTAGCGGTTGGGTGGGATGTGATAGGAAGCCGAATCATCATATCCAATGTCTGGGTTTCTTTTTTCTTTTTTTAAAGATTTTATTTATTTGACAGAGAGAGAGACACAGCAAGAGAGGGAACACAAGCAGGGGGAGTGGGAGAGGGAGAAGCAGGCCTCCCACCCAGCAGGGAGCCCAACATGGGGCTCCATCCCAGGACCCTGGGATCATGACCTGAGTCAAAGGCAGACGCTTCACGACTGAGCCACCCAGGTGTCCTAATGTCTGAGTTTCTTTGTTGCCCTCTCCAATGCATCTATCCTGATGTTACATGATACGGTAAATAAGCACTGCCCAGGAGGCTGGCAGAAAGAAGCCTTGTGAATGAAAATCAGAATAATTAACTTGAAAGAGTTATAAGAGATAACTTCTAATAATTGGCAAGAAAACCACACGAAGATTGTCCTTGTAAGCAAGAAAAGGAACTGTGACCTAATCCATCTTTTCCATGCCCAGCGTGTGTGGGCTTATAATCTGTAAATTCAGAGGTCACCCCCTTTGTATTCTATTTCTATACTGGGCTACAGTTTGATATTTAAATCCATAGTTCAATCTTCCCTTCCCTCACTTACCTTTCCAGTTATGTCCCCAAAAGAAAGAATTGATTCGTTGGCATCAAGGGGGTCATACCAATATTCCATACAAATTGGAGTTCCTTTCAGGCCTTGGAGTTTATATTGACAAGGAAATTCTCCTTTGGACAGCAGATCATAGAAACAAATCTCTTTACTCGTAAAAGCCACTGCTATCTAGAGTAGTAAATAGAAAATCAAAAAGTATTTCTGATGAATTTAATGAAATGGGTATACAAAGGAAATATGCAAATCTCAGCACCAAAGCAGACACTGTTCCCTAAGGGTCACTGACAGTATTACAGAAACATAGCATGGTGACACAAGTAAACTTTATTCTAACTTTGGGTGCTAGCCAAGAAAAAAATTCTTCCCATTAAAGGCATTTGAACATACTTTCTTCCGTACCCCCGCTTCACACACCTGCCAACTTCTTCCATCCATGGGAGCTGAGATGATTAATCCCATAGAAGAAACAAAGACAGAGGGCGACAGCATCACACAGTCATACCAGAAGCTTTACAAACCATGCTTTACGAAGCAAGCAGAGGTTTTCATAAAAAGCACTTCATAAAAGTTCTGTAAGTAGCGTTCACAAGTCAGATAAAATCCCAAAACCCTTTTTAAAAGGGTAAATAACTTTGGTGATAAAATTGACAAAACTTCAGCTGAACCAACCCAAGATTAAAAAAAAAAAAAGAATGAAAATATATACCACTAAAATAAGCCATAGAAGAGTACGCTACTAATGACCTGATAGAAAAAAGAGAGGATTATAAGAGAATATCATAAACAGTGGAAGGCCAACAAAGTAGATAACCTAGATGAGATTCCTAGACAAATTCCTGAGACAAAGATATTACCTAAACTAACTCAAAACCAAATAGAAAATCTCAGCAGACATATAATAAGTAAAATAATTGAATTTGTAATTAAAAAAAAATTCTCACAAAGAAAATCGTAGGCCCAGATGGTTTCACTAATAAATGTGACCAAACATTTGAAGAATTAATACCAATGCTTCTCAAGCTCTTCCAAGGAAAAGAAAAAGAAAAAGAAAAAGTAGAGGGGATACTTTCCAAATCGTTTCATGAAACCAATACTGTCTTATGACCAAACCCACACAAGGACATCGTAAGAAAACTGCAGCTCCATATCCCTAATGAATACACATATAAAAATCTTCAATTAAACATTAGCAGAGAATCCAACATGTAAAAAAATTACATACCATGACCAAGTTATATTTATACCAGAATGCAAGGCTACTTTAACATACAAATATCATCAATGTAATATTCTACATTAATAAAATCAATGACAAAAACTGTATGATTATCTCAATAGACACCAAAAAAGCATTAGACAAAATCCAACATATTTTCATGGAAAAAAAAAAAAAAAGCTCAATAAACCAGTAACAGAAGGAAACGTCTTCAACTTGATATATACAAAAAACCCACAGTGGCTATCATACTTAATGGTGGAAAACTGAATGTATTCTCCCTAAGATCAGGAACGTGATGACGATGTTCACTCACACCATTACTATTCAACAACCACACTGGAATTTCCAGGAAGGGAAATTAGGCAAGAAAAAGAATAAAAGCAACCAGATTGGAAAGGAAGAAGTTAGACTATCTTTATTAGTAGATGACACGATCTTAAACATAGAAAATCCTAAATAATAATAACAACAAAAAATGATCAGAACCAATAAATGAGTTCAGTGAAGTTGCAGGATATAAGATCATTTTTTAAAAAATCTATTGTATTTCTATACATTAGTAATGAACAATCTGAAAATGATATCACCAAAAGCAGTCTTAGGAAAATACAAAGACAAAACACATGCTATGATACAGTATTCGTAAATTATCCATCTGATAAATGTATATATCCAGAATATATAAAGAACTCTCAAGGGGCACCTGGGTGGCTCAGTCGTTGAGTGTCTGCCTTTGGCTCAGGTCATGATCCCAGGGTCCTGGGATCGAGCCCCACATCGGGCTCCTTGCTCAGGGGGGGGCCTGCTTCTCCCTCTCCCACTCCCCCTGCTTGTGTTCCCTCTCTAGCTGTCTCTCTGTCAAATAAATAAATAAAATCTTTAAAAAAAAAGAACTCTCAAAACTCAACAAAATAAACCCAACAATAAAATAGGCAAAAGATTTTAACAGATACTTCACCAAAGAGGATATATAGGTAGCAAATCGGTATATGAAAATATGCTCAATATTATTAGTCATTAGGAAAATGTGAATTCAAACCACAATAAGATTTAAAAAAAAAAAAAAAAAACCTATTAAAATGGCTAAAATTAAGAGGGGAAAAAAATACCCTGATTATACCAAATGTTGGTAAGGATGTGCTATATCCACATGATGAAATATTACACAATAAAAAGATAAACTACTGATGTATCTCAAAATAACCAAGCCAAGTTAAAGAAGTGAGACCAAACAGAGTACATACACACTGTATGATGTCAATTATATAAAACTCTAGAAAATGCTAACTATCGTATGGTGACAGAGAGCATATCAGTCACTACCTGACAAGGAGAGATGGGAGGGATTGGACAGGGGATTACAAAAGGGCACGAGGAAACTTTTGAGGATGGATATGTTCATTATCTTCATTGTACTGTTGATTTTTCACAGTATCTAAATGCATTAAAATCTATCCACTTGGGTATTAATATGTGCAGTACATTTTGTGTAATTATACTTCAATAAAGCTGTTTGAGAAAAGAAGAAAAAAGCAACATTCTTTAAAGTTCCATGTTGACTAAGTGTAAAGGAAAGGCTAAGAGTTAGTCATCAGTCCTGGAAAGAAGACACAATGCAACATAATCATTATACAATATAACAACACAAATATTACATTATAATAATAGAATGCTACACACAGATACAAAAGAAAATCTGGGCTTGAACTATGTTGTGATACATACAGTTAACATTAACACCCGATCCTTAGCAAGAACGAACTGGACCACTCTAGAGGCAGCAAAGACTCTGAAACAGGTTCTGAAATCAAGCTGCCTCTGTTTACAAGTCTTGCAACACTGATTACATCCTGCATGACCTGGGGCAAATTCCATAACCTCCCCTTGCATAGTCTCTCATTTTTAAAATGGGAATAATATCTACCTTATGATGATCTTGAGAAGATTAATAGAGCAGGGCATGTCACATAGGAAGCAAATGATGATGACGATGATGATGTTCAAGGCATTAGAGCATACCATTTCCCAGTAAAAAGAACCCGGGTCTTTGGAGAAATGGCCAATTCTGGGTCTGGCATAATAAATATGGAAGATGATCCTGGAACATTTTGTCATACCGGAGAGTAAAGAAGCTTTCAAAGACTAATATGCTTATATCAGAAAAAACTCAGAAGCTGACTTGTATTCATCCCAGTGTCCAAAGATGATACAATTTTAAGGATGGGTTAATAACTCAGTGGACTGAAACAAATCAAACTGGTTAAATTCATGAGTTTATAATGATACTGATAATAATAATGATAGTACTCATTTTTCATCTTTAGAGGATTTTGAATGCTGGTAAATAAAATAAAGAATTACTCATTTATCCTGCCTTTGGTCTATGATTTGTACATTATAGCTGAATAATTGACAAGGGGAATTTCTTTTTATAGAGGCATTTCAGCTTATAAAGAGGAAATGATGAAACTAGAATGTCATCATCTTGCAACCCCTAAACAAATTGATAGATCAAGGAATAATTGTGATAACTGATAATGTCCCAAGAAAAGAGAGAACAGGCATTTTGTGCTTCCCGACTGAGGAACCCCTATTCCAGAACAGACCATTCTAAAACTGATCAAGTCTTTAGATTCGACTACCAATATACCAGAAATATGGGGAACAAGTAGACATGTTCAACAACCCTATCTAAATACAGTCCACAAAATCCAGACTGTGGGAAACTCTAAAGGACAAACACCTCGTTTCTTTAACAAAAATAGCAACAGCAAGAACAAAACAATGCAACAATAAAGAAGAGGTGAAGAAAAACATGTAGATCAAAATAGACCCATCAACAATTCACAACGATTTGGACCTTATTCAGATTTGAATTCAAACAAACTATCAAACAAGGAATTCACAGACTATTAAAAATTATCAGACAAGAAAATATGCACATGACTGAATATTTGATGATAGCAAGGAATTACTTTAATTGATTTTAAATGTGATAGCAGTACTATAATTATGCTAAAAAGGGAGACTTTTTTTTTAGAAAAATGGAACATTTACAGACTAAATAATTGCATGTCTTGGGTTTCAAAAGTAGGGAGATATAGATGAAACTAGATTGGCTGGAATTGGAAATGGTTAAGGGTAAATATTGGTTCTTAATACTATTATCTCTGCTTATGTGTATATTTAAAAATTTTCATAGAAAGTTTGCCATGTGCTTAATATAAAATACTAAGAACATGGATTCTTTAAGCTTCATCCTTCCCTCACAAACTGATTTTCCTTTCAACATGCTATCTTACTTATAGGTAGAGTCATATAAGGATATTTGTACTTAGTGGGCCCTCCCGATCACAATTAAGAAACTGACTAGGACAGTGGTTAAAATCAGATAAGCAATTCCCTGTAATTGCATTGAGTTGTGCCACGCACTGTTACAGCCTCTCAGCTCTACATATAGACCCATGATTCTACTACAAACTATGGAGTCCAGAAACGTCTTATGAGCCAGCAATGCAGCATGGCCACGTTTGGGACAGAGCCAAGAATCTGAGTCACTATCAGCTGTGTCCTTTAAAGGTGCCCAAGAAACCAGTTTGGGAAATCGAGTAGCCCACTTGGCTCTATTTGCATTCCCTCCAGGTGAGAGGAGAGGCACAGAAAGGTACTACAGCTCTTTGTCACTGCCAGTGTTATACTTGATATTGGTCAGGAGCCCTGTCTCATCATTTTTTTCCCCTTTTTAAGCAGTAAATTTAAGGCGCCTGGTGGCTCAGTCAGTTAAGCGTCTGCCTTCGGCTCAGATCATGATCCCAGGGTCCTGGGATTGAGTCCCATATTGGGCTCCCTGCTGCTTCTCCCTCTACTTCCTCACCCCCACTCATGATCTCTCTCTCTCTCTCTCTGTCTCTCTCTCTCAAATAAACAAATAAAAAAATCTTTAAAGAAATAAAGTAGTAAATTTATTTATTAAGATTTGGTACCTTGTTTACATTTTCCAGAGAAACCAGACTTGTCACCCACAGGTGTTTAAGCTTGGTGGTATCTGAAGTGATGGGAAGTGTTTCTTGCAGCTTTAAATTCTCTCCCCAGATTCCTAATAGGCCTTCCTTACTGATGGTCAGATAACGACTTGAACTTTTTAAGAATATTACTTTTTGAATGGTGTCCTTGTGCTTCACTGGGAGGAATTCAAGGTCTTTCCACTGGGGAACCACAGTTGCCTTTGCTCGTTCGTCTTTCTCATAAAGTGCTAACAGCATAAATGAAGTCAGCTTGTCCCAGTTAATGAAGCCATCTTGGGCTACATCCACTTTGTCAAAGAGCTCCCCATATTCTTCCTTTGTGCCCCAACCAACAATCTCTGTCATCCTTTGCATAAACTCTTCTCTGGACATGCAAATGGTTTGACATGGCTCTGAGGGCTAGAAACAGGAATAAAAACAAGACAACAGTGAAGGCATCCATAAGTACTAGAGCATTGCCCTATCCCCAGATGTGGACCTAATCAGCAAATCTTCCAAGATGCAAAGACAAATGTCTTTTACTCTGTAACAAGACTATATTTAAGTTAATTGGGACCGGGAAGCACAGAATTGACAGGGCTACAAGCTGACATTTTCGATAACAAATATCCTTATAACTGGAAAAGGGAAGCAGGAGAGTCAGAGATTTGATATGAGATGGAAGCAGCAGTCAGAGTAATGTGGGGCTATATTCCAAGGAATGCAAGCACCTCCGGAAGCAGGAAAAGGCAAGGAAACAGAGTCTCTGCTAGAGCCTCCAGATGGAAGGCAATCCTGACAACACCCTGATTTAGCCCTGTAAAACCCATTTTGGACTTGTGACCTCCAAATTAAGATAATAAATCTGTGTGTTTGAAGCTACTAAGCTTGTGATAATTTGTTATAGCATCAGTAGGAAACTAGCATAGTGGTTTACAGAAGATGGATAAACAGAGTTGAGCACAGCCAATAAAATTATACCACACTGAAACTTTAATCCAAAAGCAAGAAGTTCACTTCCGTAAACACATCATTACAAATACACCATGACAGTGAAATCATAAATGGTTGATTTTGTTATTAATGGTACTTATGCTCTATAAAGTGTTTGCAAATACTAAATTAGCAGATACTGAACCATAGTTCTGAGAGGAAATACAGAGTTATGTTTCTATGAGCCCCTGGTCACAATATTTTCATCATTTGATCAATTCATAATTTGTTGGTATGTTTCCATTGAAAGACACTTAATTTAATATATATAGTTAATTTACTAATATTGAATTCATGACCAACTGAATAAAGCTTATCTAACACATGTATCATGTATTTTCTCCATAAGGCACATCATAGCCTTCTTGCACTTAGGAACACTAAACAGAACTTTACCACCACACTTGGGGGCCATTTTTAAACAGCGAAATCACCAACAAAAACACAAAATGCAAAAAGAACTTGGCACTAAGTAGACCACAAATAGGATATTTGTTTGCAGTATGAGAGCTAGAATAAAAAGGCAGAGTGTCACGTTGTCTGCCCTCAGCCTGGAATATGTACATTGGAGGCTGAAATCTTTTGCCACTCCGTACATGTCTGCAAATGACCATGAAAGAGTCTCCAGTATTAATTTTGGGGTTACAAATAAATTTTAGCAAGTAGGCAAACTCACAAATACAAAATCTGTGCATGAGAATACTGTTAATATTATTATTATTTCAGGGATGCCTGGGTAGCTCAGTTAAGTGTCTACCTTCGGCTCAGGTCATGATCCCAGGGTCCTGGGATCAAGCCCCGCATCGGGCTCCTTGCTCAGCAGGGAGTCTGCTTCTCCCTCTGCCTGCCGCTCCCCTTGCTTGTGTGTGCTCTCTCTCTCTTTCTCTGTAAATAAATAAAATCTTTAAAAATTTTTTTAATTATTATTTGAAATAATATTTAAAATAAGTTTATATTTTACTACTTAATAGGCTGTCTAGTTTGGTGATATTCATGATGAGAGAACCTACTTTTCCTACTACCTTGGAGCCAATGAGTCAGGATTGATAGTAAGCACTGGGAGAAAGCATATTGTAGAGCAAGTCATAATTGTAGGTTTAAACTTAATTCCACCAGTAATTGTGAGACCTATTGGCAAGTTACTTCACTGCTGAGCCTTAATTTCTCCATCTGTAAAGTGGATATAGCAATATCAGCCACAAGAAAATTGCTTTTAAAATTAACTGATATATCAATAGATGTAGAAAAAGCATTTCACAAAATTCAATGCCATTCATGAATTTTGAAACTCTCAGTAAACTAAGAATAGAGGAGAACTTCCTCAACTTGATAAAGAATATCTACCCCAAAAATGCACATCTAACATCATATTCAATGGTGAGAAACTGGAGGCTTTCCTACTAAGATCTGGTACAAGGCAAGGATACTCCCCTCATAGTTGCTTTTTAACATCATAATGAAAGTTCTAGCTAATGCAACAAGATAAGGAAGTAAAAGATACAAATATTGGAAAAGAAGAAATAAAACTGTCTTTGTTACAGGTGGCATGATCATCTATGTAGAAAACCTGAAAGAATCAACAAATAAACTCCTGGAACTATTAAGACTGCAGGATACAAGGTTAATATACAAAGGTCAATTGCTCTGCTATATACCAGCAAACAATAAGTAGAATTTGAAATTAAAATCACAGTATCATTTATTTCAGTATCCAGAAAAATGAAATGCATATAAATCTAAGAAATACGTAAAAGATCTATATGAGGTAAACTACAAAACTCCAATCAATGAAATCAAAAGAACTAAATAAATGAAAACATATCTCATGCTTATAGATAGGAAGACTCAATACTGTCAAGATCTCAGTTCTTCCCAAGATATTGGGAACTAACACAATATTGAAGGACAAGAACAAAGCTGGAGAACTAACTCTACATGACTTCCAGACATACTATAAAACTACAGTAAGTACCACAACGGTGTGGGATTGTCATAAAAATAGACAAAGAGATCAATGGAACAGAGATCCCAGAAACAGACCCACATAAATCTAGTCACTAGATCTTTGACAAAGGTCCAAGGCAATACAATAGAGAAAAAATAATATTTTCAACAAGTGGTGCTGGAATACCTGGACATCCACATCATAAAATATGAATCTAGACACAAACCTTATACCTGTCACAAAAATTAACTCAAAATAGATCGCAGCCTTAAAACTATAAAACTTATAAAACTATAAAACTCCTAGAAGATTACATAGAGGCAAACCTAGATGACCTTCAGTTTGGTGATGACTCTTTAGATGCAACACCAAAGGCACAATCCTTGAGAGAAAGAATTCATAATCTGGACTTCACTAAAATTAAAAACTCCTGCTCTATGAAATATAATGTCAAAAGAATGAGAAGAAAAACCATAGACTGGGAGAAAATATTTTCAAAAGATATAGCTGATAAAGAACTCATCCAGAACATATTTTTAAAATTCTTAAAATTTAACAATAAGAAAACAAACAATCCAATTTAAAAATGGGCCAACGGCCTTAATTCATATCTCACAAAAGATATACAGATACGCAAAAAGCGTATGGAAAGAAGTTCCACATCATATGCCACCAGCGAAATGACAGGTGTCTTTACACACCCTATTAGAATGGCCAGAAATCTGGAATGCTGACAAAACCAAATGCTGACAAGGATCCAGAACAGGAACTCTCAGGCACTGCTGATGGGAATGTAACATCATACAGCCTCTTTGGAAGACAGTTTTGGTGGCTTCTTAGAAAACAACATATTCTTATTATATGATCCAGCAATCATGCTCCTTCGGATTAACCCAAATGAACTGAAGACTCGGATTTTCACACAAAAACCTGCACACGGATGTTTAGAGCAGCTTTATTTGTAATTGCCAATACTTGGAAGCACCCAAGTTGATGTCCTCCAATGAGTGATGGATAAATAAACTGTGGTATATCCAGAGAATAGAATATTATTCAGTGCCAAAAAGAAATGAGCTATCAAGCAATGAAAAGACCTGGAGGAGCCTTAAATGCATACTACTAAGTGAAAAAAGCGGATCTGAAAAGGTTGCATGGTATGATTCCAACTACATGAAATTCTACAAAAAGCAAAACCATAGAGACAGTAAAAGGTTCAGTGGTTGCCAGGGGTTAGAGTGAGGAAGGATGAATAGGCAGAGCATACAGGATTTTCAGGGCAGTGAAACTATTCTGTATGATACCACAGTGGTGGATATATGTCATTATGCATTTGTCCAAACCCCACAGAATGAAGAGGACTAAGAGTGAGTCCTAATGTAAAGTGTGGCCTTTGGGTGATTATGATGTGTCGATGTAGGTTCAACAGCAGTAACAAACGTACCCCTCCGGTGGAGGATGTGGATAAAGGGGGAGGCTGTGCATGTTTCAGGGTAGGGGAAATACAGGTAATCTCTGTTATCTTCCCCTTAATTCTGTTGTGAGTCTAAAACTACTCTAAAAATATAAAGTCTTAATTGAAAAAAAAAAAAGATGAGCTGAGGTATTATGTGTGCAAAAACTAAGTAATCAAGCATTTAATAGAATTTGGTCTAGGCTTTTGATTAATTAACTTTCTGATAAATAATTAGTATCCAGCCCTTTGAACTACTCAGAAGTCCATCATTCTTTCCTTTGTTACATTATTTTTAGTCCAAAACGTTTAGAGAGATGGAAATTTTTCAGTGACCCAGATTTTAAGTGTGGAGAAAGAAACCTGATCCTAAAAACACTCCATTTGAGCCAAACTGCAAACTGTTTCTGAACGCTATGTCAATGTTGATCTTTTATTTTAAAACTGTTACATAATGACATCAACCAGCCTCTTATATTTATGTTATTATCTTATACTATGTTTAAAACATTTTCAAGCTGAATCTCAGAGTATTTTCTTATGAGTTAGTGATTTTTTTTCTAAGGAGAGGAAACCATTTTGTCTGATAAATACCAAAATAAGTCTTTTTTATATCCTAGAATATGGAATTGCAAATGGACCATAAACAAAGACAACAAACTTTCTTCTCTAAAGTAATATACACAATCAACTTTATAATTTTCTGCGTATTGATAATGCCAATATGCACCGGGAGAAGATTTGAGGAATACTCCCAATTAATGAAGTTTGACAGAAAAGAGCAACTATATAATATACCAGACAGTCCTATTATTGATTGTTCACTGATTTAAGTTTGAAAATAAAACCAATTTTTGCCATTCCTTTGGTTAAAATTTAGGAATTTGCTATTACTAAAAATTTCTAACGTGGTTCAAGAATCATTATGCCTTGATCAGTATGTGTTTTGTGTTTATTAATTCTATTATATGCCAGCTTTAATAAATTAGTTCAATGTACAATGAAAGCCTGTGATCTTTTACACAAACTTAA